AGTGTGGATTAAAAACACGTGGACTCTAAGGATTCCATTTCTTTTCTCTGCAGCGTCTGTCGACACAGGTCTCTGTGTTTGCTCTGGAAAAAGACTGTCAGCAGTGACAGGAGGGAGGAGAGCACCGAGGCTACAGGGTTATTGTGTCTGTGCTGCTTAACAATGGCTGCATCAAAAGCAAGGGGGTGCCTTTGTTTTCCCGTGCGTCGTATGAATACGTGTGACAGTGAATTCCTCCGCATTCCTTGGTTCATTTATTATGTTGTCACTGTGACATTTGAATATTCAGGACTGTCACTCGACGACAGAACAATGCACGGAACAGCCCAGTTTTTCACCTCTTTTCAAACACGACGACATCTGATTGGACGAGTATTTATTCACAATATGGAGGCTGTCAGCTTTTATCACTATGGCCACAGGAGTGGCTGGTAATCAAGATTGGGCAACAATTTAAACAACATTAATCAGCATCCTGTGGAGAACGCAGTAGAATTATAATTTCATTTTTCTTTTTAAATCAAATTAAATCAGCGGTCGTGAATCACATGGGAGGTGTTTGGTTGGATGAACTGTCGAGTGATTTCGAGCTGCTCTAATGAAGACTAATGAATTACGAGTAGAATAAGTTGCCGGGAAGAATATTAAAATGACGGGACTACAGTGAAAAAAAAAAAAAAAATCAATTGAATCTGCACATACATTTTAAAGAACAGCTGTTACAAGGTTGTAAAAAAACAGAATAAAAGTATTTTCTATGCTAATTAACTTTATGTAAATGATAACTGTATTTGATGTGTGTAGCTTTTATCTACTTCCAGCTTTCTTTGGAAAGCGATGATGACCATGGAAATAAAGCAGGAAACTGTCGATAAAGATGAGCGTGGTGGCCGCTAAAGAAAGAACGAAGAATACAAATCGAAAAAAGAAAAAAACAAAAATTAAAAACGTAAGCTCAGTTAAGTTAATTCTAAGTTTATGTAAGTTACGTAAGGTACGTGTAAGGTACAGTACTGAATCAAGTGTCTACGTATGGGCCAACGCTCTCCCCTCCATCCAGGGCAGATAACATGCAGAATAACATAATATTGTGTCAGTCTTCAGACCTGGTAAACAGAAAACCATGAGCAGAACAAAGTCCGACATATGAAGACCTTAAGATACCGTGGTTTTATTTGATTTCTTGTTTTACTTTCCACTGTGGCATGATGTATGTGAATATGGACAACAACAGGTGATACATGACTTAGAGTTTACTCTGTGTATGTGATTGATGTATGTGAATATGGACAACAACAGTCCATACAGGTGATGTTTAAGGATGTAAATTTCACTTTGTTCATTCCAAAAGTAGAAACAGAAATGGTCTGTCGACAACATAAACTGTGCAGAAATACTAGAGTACTACAGTAATACTACCATGTGCACATTTGTATTCAGAATAACTACACAACTAAAAATACTCCGTTGTGGTATCATTACTGTATGATCAAAGGCCAAACAAACCACAGAAGACAAAGGCTGCTGGTCTACTGCAGTTTCTTATACAGTAAGTGATTTCAAAAAACAAACACCAGGAGTCTTTGGAGAAAAGACTGGAGGAAAATGTAGACTGTAAAACAATGGGTGTACAGCAGTTCCCCGACATACGAACATCCGACTTAGGAACATTTGTAGATACAAACAACCGCTGACTGACGTCCATAAATGTTCGTAAAATGCAGGTCGCAAGTTCATATTTTGAACCGATCGTTCGTAGGTTGGCCACTGTCTGTACTTGCCTCGCAAATCTTGCATTCTAGTAACTATTACAATTCCTATTGTGTTGTTTTCTTGCTTTTGATAGAAGTAAGATGTCAAAGCAATAAGGAAACACACACAAACACACACACTTGCTTACACACCAACTTTATCTGTAGAATAATGCTTAGCCTTGTCAGTTCATGCATTACACTCCCTTGAGTTTAAATCAGAAATATTGGCTCTACTTTATTACCTCAAGGCTCCGGTCTCGGTTAGCAGAACTGGTCTGAGACTTTACCCGTCATTTAATAAAAACACTGTCGTTTCCTCCTCGCTATCTTTTAAAGAGAGTTTTATCATCTGTAAAACAGCGCCCCCTCTAGATGTGACGTGGTGAATAAGTGTTAAAAACATGGTATTGCACTCTGTTGTCTGTGAGGAGACCAGGCTGAGTTGGCTTGGTTTCCTCACGCTACGCTGCTAAAAAAAAGAGGTGGAAAGCATGATTCCTTAAACCACTGTCCAAATGGGAAACAAACGCAATAATAAAATGGAAAATGGAAAATAAATTACATTTCAAAAACCGATACAAAACTTTTCACTGAGCGACATGTGACAGTTCAAATAGTCAACGTTTTGGTTTCCTTTCTGAAAATGCAAAGCTTAAATACTTAAATAAATCATGATACTTGATATTTGACACATTTTCTGACAAGGTTCTTTGCCCAAACCTATATTATATATATATTCATATATTATATTATATATTCAATAACCTCTTAAGACAATCCAAATCACAAGAAAAAAAAGGTCTAGTGTTATCGATCTAATATCTGATTTAATGTTTAAGACAGTGATCTAAGGCCATGCAGCACATCAGAGTATAATGCTGTATAAACACTGAATATATTTTATTTTAATCAAAGGGATAACCTTGGCCTTGAGTTGGAATTCTGGGTCTGGAGAATCCTTCAACATGGCAGATGAGAATCCTACCCCTGCACCTCTCTAGTTCTCAATGTTTGATAGCGGATTCCTACAAGAACAGTAGTAGTATGCACCGTGTCTCAGTATGCACTTGTACTTCAAAATAAACACAGCACCAACTGTAGGAGCCGCTGAAGCTTTTGTTCGGTTTTAGAAGAAACAAAAAAACTCAACCATGAACTGGAAGATGTTTCTCTGCACTGCAAACAAGAACTTCCTGACTCTCCTCCTCCTCCTCCCCCTCCACCCCACTCCCCTCCACCTCTCCTCCTTACACCTGCCTTGAACACAACATGACTTCACCGTCTCAAACAGCAGACGACTGCAGGTGGACTTGTCTTCATCCCGGTGAACATCGGTGACATGAACGCAGCAGCAGAGGCTGTGTTTATTAGCTGTTTCAGTAAAGCCCAGAGATGTGCGGTGAATTCAAAGACCTGGATTGTGTTCTGCTCCTCTGAGAACAATGTAGAGCTCCAATGAATCTTTTATGTGCTTTGGAAAAGTACAAGGGGAAATTTTGGGGCCAAAAGGATTTCGTACACAACACGGCCTGGCTCCCTTCACAACAGCAGACCTGATTTTTATTCCCACTCTGGCTTTAACACCTTCTTCCTCCAACCACCCAGACACTGCACTCAGCCTCATCCATCCACCTCACTGCTACGTGTCAAAGATGAGTCAAAGATGCTGCCCAGGCTTCTCACCTCATCACTTCTATTTATAATCCACCTGCTGCTCCAGCTATGTGTTCAATCTGAGGATTAGAAAATTATTCAGAGGTTTATCGTCTCATATAAATGTTTTCATTTCAAAAAGTATCTTGTGGAAAAATCCCTAAATAGTACAGACCAACTTTTACAGTAAAATACTTCTTCTCTCCCTCTCTCTTTTCCTCTCCCCATTTTTCCTCTCTTCCTCTTTTACTTTGCGAGCAGAACAAATGTTCCATTCAAACTCATGTGCTGCAGCTTCCAAGTGTTTGGAGAGACTCCAGTCGTCATAGATCATAATTCAGATCAACAGTTGGGGCATGTGTTTCTGCAGCAGTGCCAGCTGGAGTGCAGTATTAGTCACCCGTCAGTCAGCACCCATCAAGACTGAATCCAGGCCAGAACAGCTCACTAGCTTGTCTTGACAAATATTGGATGTTAGAAACGAAACGCTACAACAGATTTCTCTTTTCACACTGCTCGGTAAAAATGGCAACAAATGTGGATGGTACACACTGGGCTAGTCGCTCAGGGGTGGGGGGTGGAAATGACTGAGAGCAAAAGCCTTTAAAAACATCCCAGAATTCACTTGATATAAGTTTCAGGTATGAATAGGGACTCGGAGTGATTCATGTCTCCTCTTCTGGCTTCGTGTTATCTAAAGACGGGGGGAAGGAGAGGGTGAAATATGAAGGAGAGGGGAGTGGATGGAGACGCAGTGAGTGTGCACGACTGAGGTAATAAAACCAAAGGGAGTGAAAAAGGTGAGAGAAGATTTATGGCATTTAGGGAGCATGAAATAGAATTGTGGAGAGGGACGGCGCTCATGCTGTTCCACAGTCTTTATGTGTGACAGAGAAGGAGTCAAACAGATGAGATGGTTCATCCTCAGTAATAAGTCAGCGTCGTAACTGTTTTTTATTATGTCGTAAATTTGATAATCATGAATATGAATGGAAGAGATTTTCACATGGAATAAATATGATTTTAAAATGAAAAAAATAGAAATGTGTAAAATCAGGAATTGAACCTCAGACCACCTGCATGCCAGAGGCAACTCTAACCGCTGTGCCACCGTCACTCCCAGCCACTTGTTAAGTGTGACTCACTCTTCTACAACATGATCCATCAGGAGGTAAACAGTGCCATATCTCCTAGTGAAATGCTATTTTTATTTATATATATTTTATTTTTTAAATCCACAACACTATAAAGAAAGATCTAAAAAAAAATCCCATGTGCAAATACGCAGTCACATGCATTAATAAAATGACAATAAAGATTCTAAATCTGTCAACAGAAATGAACTGTAAGTCATAAATATAAAAACCCAAACTTGTGCTGAGGGCCATAACTTTATCATTATTTGTATTCCATCGCTGTCATCAACAGGAAATAAAGCTCAGCATGTGAGTGTTGTGTGGAATCGCAGCTCCATCAATCACAGCACTGCAGTAAAAAGGCAATAAGTACACTGGGATGTTATTGCTTTGTTTACACACATCTATCTGTGTGTGTGTGTGTGTGTGTGTGTGTGTGTGTTCACAGGACACTCACCACCAGAGAGAGCGGCCTCTTCCAGGACACTACTCCGATCAGTCCAGAAAGCAGGACCTGCAAAACAGAGATGTTTTAGAGATAAATGACAGCACGTCAAACAGAAACACACGCATCTTTATTTTTAGAAAAATAAAAATTCAATCCTAGCAATAATGATTAAAATATAATTCTGTGATTTGACTAATTTGAACATTCTTTGAATAATTACAATAATAAAGAAATCCATCCATCCATTTTCATCTGCTTATCCGTTACCAGGTCGCGGGGGCAGCAGTCTCCATGACCGCCACCCAAATCACACTGAACCGTACCAACCCCCCTGAACCTTCCTGTGGGTGTGGGTGGTGAGCCCAGTGGAAGGTACCACCCGCCCTACTCTGGATTAGTTCTTACCCAGGAGGTGAACCCTGGGGTTCTACACCAATGACAGAGACGTTGATAAAGAAACCACTCTCATGTATTTGTTGTACTCGTAACATTTCAAACCCTCCGGCTCGTGAGCAGCAGGATTAGCAAACTGCTAACAAAGTCAGGCAAATTTAAAGTTTGTTAAGTTGGATCCGTTATCATCTGTAGGCTGGTTACTATGGTTACCTAGGTCGTTAAATTCCAAAGTCGATCAGGAACTCAGGGATTAGTCATTGTGAATCAAGGGAGATCTATTGTCAGTACGGTGGCTCCTAGGTTTGCGATGTCCTTGACCTACAGCGTTTCGTGGGTAATGTCACTATCTACCAGACATTTATTAAGGAAGTCTTGATTCACCATGCCGATGTACGGCGTAAAAACTAATTTTGAACGGGAACCTGTTGGCGAGCGGAAAAAAAAAACATAGTGTAGCGGTTAGCACGCCTGCCTCGGAAGAAGAGAGTCCTGGGTTTGATTCCCAGAGAACCCACATGCTTGGCGCCTGCTGGGGGCAGCATATCTGCTGCAAACACAACAATTTCCCAAATATGGGATCAGTATAGTAAAGCAGAACAACAATCAATATTTGGCTTCATTAACTTTTTAGATGATTAAATATTTAGACGTGCTCATAACGACTTCCTTTTCTCTAGACCAAGGTAGACGATCTGCAGATGATATTTTTCTGGTTTTTAATTGGACAACAAAAACCTCCTGATTTCACCTCACCCAGGGTGTGTGCTGTAGGTGTGAATCCCCGTTAGTTCATTGGATTCGTTAACACACTTTACTGTGCCGTGTGAACATAAACAGGGAGTTGAACTGGTGTCTCTGTGCAGAGGACACCATGTGAAGCACCAGTGTGAACGCGACAGTAGTGTGTGAACAGAGGCCACTCGTAGGTTCCCCTGCTCTGTTCCTCCACGGTGACTCTCCTTCCCTTTCATCCTCCTTCACTCTCCATTAAACACCAACATGTTCTGCCCATTTTCTCTCATCTCACTCTCCTCCCTCCCTCCACCGACTTTCTTGATGTCCACCCTCTCTCTCTCTGTCATCTTTTCCTCTCCAATTGGTTCCATCTCTGTCCTTTCTCTCTGCCGCTCTGTTCTCGCTCCTCATAAGCAGCAGACTCTCTCATTCCTATTTCAATCTCAATCTTGCTGCAGTTGCCGGTCCATCTTTCACCTCGTCAATCGCCTCGTTACTCATCAGACCCGGGGAACCAAACATCAATATTTCATTTGTGAGTGGGTTCAAAGACCGAAACGCACACTTGGGAGCATGTAAAGTTCTGAGGGAAATTGGAATTAAAATTGGAATGATTTATAAACACAGAGTACGTCAACAACACACATTTGATCTTTGACCTGTATTGTATAATTATGTCATGTATGACTGAACATACGGTCGAGATTCAAGCCTAATAATTCAGAGATGTCAGACCCTTGATGAGACCACCTACCAGTAGAAAATGATGAATGTTTTTCTTTGCAGTATTCTCTTCCATTATATGATTATGTGTCATTGTAAATGCAGGGACCAGCTCCATTTATTCCCCCAAGAATCGTCAACCATTTTGGTAAGAGTTTTTCAAGATTCTAAGCAACGTACTTGCAGTTCTAGGACAAACTGAAGAAAAAAGAAATCTTTATCAATAAAAATACCAATACTATTCCTCCGCACGTCTTTCATTTCAGTCAAAGCACTTTTTCAAGTAGTGTTTCCATCTGCCAGTTCCTTTTCTGTAAGGTTTTAGGGACGGGTGTTTCAACAACATCTGCCAGTTCCTTTTCTGTAAGGTTCTAGGGGCGGGTGTTTCAACAAGGTCACGTTTATTTGTCTCCTCGAAGGTCTGACATTGAGTTTCTTTCAAATGTTCTTTCAGATTTGAGAGAAGAAGGAGCAAAATCAAAACATGCTTCAAAGCTTCAATAGTTTGACAGGTTTCCATTTAGGATTGGTTAAAAATTAGAGGTTTAAAATCAAAATCATTGACTAAGATATAATATATAATATGTTTTAGTTATTACAATCAGACACCCTCTTTTTATCAGGCGTTTAATGTTAAGTTAATAAATAGGTCTGGGTTAAATGGTTAGACTTGGTTTCATTTTTTTTTAATTCCTGTATCCCTGCTTTTGGATTTAAAAATGTGATGACCAATTTAATAATAGTGTAAAGTTAATTGTATTTTCCCTGTCTTACTACAACAGTCAGGCTTGGATGGCCTTTGTCGTACACAATGCTGCTGCATGTACAGCTCAGCAGTGTGACAGCAGAGCCGGCGTGAGAGCTGAGCTGGCTGTCAGCCGCCGGTCTCTCCTCCTCTGGACTACTCCTTTAGACGGATTATTATGCAACACTTAGCTGCGTTCATAACAGAAATCTGGTTGATGGAAACAGAAACTGGCAGGTGGACAAAAATGCTGAAAAGTTTAATCTGTTCTCCTCTAATGTCTTATCGTTGTTGATGTTGAACTTTAATAAACAAACAGTGGGACAGTGGTAAACTCTGTCGAGAGAAGACCTGGAAAAGGTAGATCAAGCTTTTATCACAACTTGCCTCCCCCTCAGTAATGGATCTGAGACGCTGGAACAGGAGCTAGTTTCACCAAATGATTGATTTTAAGACCCTTCTGTAGCTCTTCCTCCTTCTCTGACCTGCTGCAGCCATACGTTTCATGATGGGCTGTGAGATCAGCCAATCAGCTGCTTCTGATGATTTCTAAAACCAGGCTGACGCTCAGAGCAGATCAGGCGTTATCACGTCCTGAAATCTGTTTTTAAAACCACAGCACGTGGAGGCAACACACGTGACATGAAGGCAGATGATCCAGGCCTGACTGAGGAGCCAAAATAAGAAAACCATAGTTTTTATACGTGACCTCCAGCAGGGGGAGAAAAGACAAAGAACCTGGAGAAAAACAACTGTAAACAACGTCAACGTGAGCCTTGTCTTTCTTATGTTTCGTTGTCTCGTATCTACAGTATACACAGAGTTGAAGCACCGTACGGTCACATTCAGACTAACAAGGACACACACGTAGGTACACACACACACACACACACACACACACACATCTTAGTGACCACACGCAGTGTGAAAACGGAGCTCGGAGATTAAAGTCAAGCGATTGCCTTTCGTCAGAGCAGTCAGAGTCACGACCACAAAAGAGAACATGACTGTGATACTCTTACACACACACACACACACACACACAAGGCAAATCCCTAGGCTCACCCTAACAATACAGCCATCTCTGTTGAGCCCCATGAGAAAGAGTTTAAAAATAAAATCCCAGTTTTCACAGATTTTTGCTCTGTGACAATCAGAGGACAACGCACCAACGCTGCTGCGTGTGTGGATGGGAGAAGCCCAGTAAGCAATAACTCTGAATAGATGTCACAGCACATGCCTGCTACAGCACGACGAGGACAGTGAGAAGACAACACACGGCCTAACCGTACTCGTCTGACAACTGTTTAATCTTAACGTCACCCAGAGCAGGTCTTCAGTTTTACTAATTGAAGATAAAAGCTGTGATATTACTGAACGATGGTGAATCCACCCTGAGCAGTGAACAGTTACAGTCTTAACCATTCTCATTCATTTATGCATGGCAGCAATCAAAAAGCCATTTCCTAAAATGAGGATGTAGCCCCTCCCACTTCTCTCTCTCTCTCTCTCGCTCTCTCTCTTTTTTTCAAACATCACATCATCACGGCCAAGATGGATGAAAGCAGTGTGGTTGCCGTGGTTACCACAAACTGGCCATTTCCGAGGGTCCGTAATGACTTCCCATCAGCTGCCAGGAGCAGGGACATGAGGCGGCCTCGTGTGTGAGGAGATAAAACAGGGAGCCCCCTCCTCACCTCACATGGGAACGTACACAAACAGTCAACAACGCATCAACACCCGTGTAGATATATATTTCTGTCCATATACTTATTAAAGTTTTGACAGATATAGGAAGACCAATCTTCTCAACCAATACAAAATATATATTTAAAAAAACTGTGTTGAGGTGCAATTGGACCAAACACACACATTAACCTGAAACCACTTGGGAACACCTCGTACGTTCTGCATCATGTGACACGTTTGACCAGACTGTGTGTTCATTGGAGCTCATCACCAGCCTTTTAATAAATGTATTGAATGAAACTGATCTCAAGGATGTGATATGGTTGTTATCCAGTTATCCAAAGGAGGCGCCAGGGAGTAAACAATCCTGAGAAGAACTGAGGAAACCAAGCAACAGTCCATCTATCCATCATCCAACCATCCATCCACCCATCTATCTATCTATCTATTTAAATTAAATTTGACTTACAAACCATCCATCCACCCATCTATCTATCTATCTATTTAAATTAAATTTGACTTAATTTAATAGTTTGATAAACAAACTATTTGATCAGCCTTTCATATGTACTGATGTCTTTTAACTGTTTATCTGAAACCTAGTTTTGACTGACGGTGCACTCACACTACAATCATTTTGTACCACGCTGGAGCCCGAGCCCTAGTGTGAGTACACCTACGGGTCAGTTAAAACTCCCAAAACCTGTGATAGGTTTTGTCCTTCATAAACACAAACACAAAGTAGTTTTTAACCCAATAACAAATATAACAATAAGTC